TTAAATTTTTTTCCTCAAGTAAAGTCACACTTTGGTTATTTACCAAAGATATACCTAAACTAGAGTAATAAGACCATTGTACCTTTTGTTCTTGGAATTGCAATCACAAGGTGTTAAATCACAATTTCAGTCCTCAACACCAAGCTCAGATTATTTCAAACCACAGGTTGTCTAATTGTATAACCTCCAATTGGGGTCAACATGAACAACAATTGCGAATAACTCCAAAAGAGATTGCATTTCTTATGCTTGAAAAGCCTAATGCTAGTTAGGTGTTTTCCCTTCAAAAGGAGAAGTCGAATTTCAACCAACGACAATAGGGAATACCAAATAGGAGCAAGAGAACCAATTTTTTGAGCTAGGTGCAATATCCAATCTTTTTCTTCTTAGTCGATAAATAAGGTTTTACAAATTGTTGTTGAAACCTTGATCAATGATAAGAATACTAGAAGCCGCACTTAAGGGATTATGGTCGAATTGGTGGAGGAAGATGAATTGATTATTAGATGTCAATCTTGACTTATAAACACGAGCAAATCAATTGAGAGTTAATGATGAATGAAAAAGAGTTTATTTTATCTAATCTTAGTTGAACTTGGATTATAGTTTATATTTATTGTTAACATGTTAAGAAACTAATGAGTCACACACATTAAGAATGTCAATTAAGAATTTCAAAAAAGGTTAATTAAGTTGGACTTATTAAAAGAATTTGAGAACTTCAAGGATGTAATTAAATAGTTTAATTAGTCTAGAGGCAATTGTGCGATTAGCATAAAAGTTATGCTTAGTCCTACAAGAGTTAGGAATAATTCCATTGCTTATAAGTATAAGGCTTATTCTACAATTTAAGGGGAATGGCTAGTATTACTAAACTACTAAAAATCATGTTGTAAAACCCCAGATTTTACTACAAGGTTAAAATGGTAAATTCTTGATGAGCTTATAAAACATTATTTTCAACCATATATTTTAAAGAATATACTTTGAAAAACCTATATATTTTAGTTATTAAGTCTATTTGAATGAAAAAAAAATGAGAAAAATCAAAATAGGTGTATTTCATAGTAAGGGAAAAATGGTTATTTTGCCTATCATTGTTTGACATTTCTTTGACTTCATTTTCCCCATAGCTTGCCCAACCTTCTTGTTTCTTTTCTCTTCTCTATGATTTTTCATTGCTTTCTCTCTAACGCTTCATCATTTTCCTTCTTTCTTCTTCATTTTCCTCACGAACAAAATTCTAACCTTAAATCTTAAATCAAGCTTGATTAAGGTAAGAAATAAAGCATGATTTTTACTTTTCCACTTATGGGTTTCAAATCTAAGCTTCCTCTCTCTAAATTTCAACTTATTCTGATGCAGCGAGTTAGCATAAAAACAAAGACTAGTAGTTGACAATGCCTTTAAGGTTGATAATCAAGTTTCAAAAGTAAAATCTTAAATTCAAAATTGGAAAAATACATAATGTTATTCAATAATTCCAAAATTTGTCTAATAACTAAGTTCAAGGGTATTATTTATAGTAGACTAACCCTCCTTGAAATGTAAGTAAATTTAAATAAAAAAGTATTCTACCCCAGACTTCTTTAGAGTACAAGAAAATTAAATTCCTAAACCTATGCTTACTTGTTGTCTAAGTAAATTAAAATAAAAGTGAAATTTTGTTGTACCTATAATTTCTAATAGGACTTCTAACTAAAGGTATGTACAAATCAATATTTTGGGACTATCCTTTTGCAATTTGGCATATGTAACATCACCATACAAATCTTGTTACATCTTTTCTCAAATGTGGCCAATAATATCTTTCTCCAACAACAGCGATCATCTTGTCACGACCTAAATGACTAGCAAGACCTCTACCATGCAAGTCTTTAATCAACTTTTCTCTCAACAAAGATTTAGGAATGCAAAGTTGGTTGCCTTGCATTAAAAAACCATCATGAATGTAAAAATTCTTAATCGGTTGCAAGGAAGAAACTTTAAAGAAAATGAAAAAACCAAAAGAAGCGATGGTGGTAACAACATGGTCTGATAGTGATTCTTCAAGTTCAGAGGAAGATAAAGAAAAAGTGAAGGAAAGAGCAAACTTTTTCTTAATGGAAAAAGAAGAAAAAATTAAAGTGACATCTAAGTGATAATTCTTATGATGAACTTCAAGATAAATATGAATGCTTGTATGTTAAATTTGAAAAACTTTTATGAAAATATAAAACTATGTGGAAGAAAGCCATAGCTTTTGATGATGATCAGAGAAAAACAAGCATGAGTATAACTTTGTGCTTGATCAAAGGAATATACTTCAATGGAACTCGAGCAGTCCAAAACTGATTTTGAACTCTTAAAGTTGGAACTAAAAAGTAAAAATATAGCTTTACAAAAGGTAGTGGAGGAAAATGTTGCCTTAAAGCTTCAATGAAAGAGAAATCAAAATTGAATTTAGAAAATGAAGAGAAACTAAAGAAAATTACAATGTTTAGAAAGGAAAATAATGTATCTTCTCAACATTGCTATATGTGTTGCAAAAAAAGACACATATCTTACAATTGTTATCACAATGGAAATAGGTTTCCCCAAAACCCAATTGGTTTGGGTGCTCAAAGGATCTCATGTGTTAGCCAACCCCCAAGGACTCACCAAAGTAGCTAAACCCTTAGAACCATTGGTAACACATCTTCAACCCAAATCAAGCATGTTTTATTTGTTAAAGGTTTAAAAATAACTTGCTAAGTATTAGTTAGCTTTGTGATAGAGGCTTTAGAGTATGCTTCAATTCCATGGATGTTAAATGATTGATATTGATACTAACAAAGTAGTATTCATTAGTAAAAGAATTTAAGAACATGTATGCTATTTTTCTTGATGAAATTGAGTTTAGTGAATTTTGTATTATTGCCAATTATGTATGTGATAGTTGGTTGTGGCACAAAAGACTCCAACATGCTAGTATGTACACTATATCAAAACTTAAAAAAAAAAAAGATCTAGTAATTGGACTTCCAAAGATATCTTTTGAAAATAACAAAGTTTATGATGCATGTTAATTTTGAAAAGAAGGTAGGAGCTCATTTAAAACCAAAAAAATTATATCAACTTCTAGACCACTTGAACTATTGCATGTTGACTTGTTTGGACCAATCACTGTTGTTAGTCTAGTAGGCAAGTCATAAGGCTTTGTTATTACAGATGACTAATCTTGATATACATGGGTATGTTTTCTTGTTCACAAAGATGATGCATTGGCAACTTTTGTTAAACATGGTAAAAGAGTTCATAATGAAAAAGGTCTCATCATTGTTAGTGTTAGAAGTGACCATTGTGGTGAATTTGAAAGTGATAATTTTGAAATATTTTACCAGGAAAATGATTTTAATCACAACATTTTTGCTCCTAGAACTCTACAACAAAATGGAGTTGTTGAAAGAAACAATAAGACTTTAATAGAAATGGAAAAAACAATGCTTTGTGAAAATAACTTTCCAAAATATTTTTAAGTAGAAGCTGTGAACACTATAGTTTACATTTTGAATAAGATTTCCATTAGAGCCATGATTTCTAAAACCCCTTATAAGCTTTACAAAGGAAGAAAACTAAACATTTCTTACTTAAGGAGTTTTAGATGTAAATGTTTTGTTTTGAATAATCCAAAACACACCTTGGGAAAGTTTTATACTATGAGTGATAAGATTATTTTTCTAGGTTAGGCATTGAACTTTAAAGCATATAGAGTGTTTAACAAAAGAACACTAGTTATAGAAGAGTCAATTTATATTATTTTTTATGAGACTAATGCTGTACAAAGAAAGGTAATGTTTGATGATGATGATACAAATGATATTGAGAAGAAAATTGAGAAGATGAGCTTAGACAAAAGAATAGATGATGAAGAGAGCTCAAAAGAGAAAAATGAGGAAAAACCACTACTAGAGGACTTGTAAAGAACTGAAGAACAACACAATGATCTTTTTGAAAGCTAGAGATTTGTAAGAAATCATCCTTAAGAACAAATCATTAGTGATCCCTCATAAAATGTAAAAACTAGAAAAGGATTAAAAGAGGCTTGTGAATGTCTTGCTTTCATATTACAAGTGGAACCAAAGAACTTAAGGAAGTTGAAACAGAAGAGGGTTGGATAATTTTCATTCCAAAGGAATGTGGCCAACTGGTAAGGAACAAGGTTTGGATCTTAGTTCCAAGGCTAACCAATCATCCAATTGTTGGTACAAAATGGGTATTTAAAAACAAGATGGATAAGCTGGGAAATGTGCTAAGGAACAAAGTAAGGTTAGTTGCTCAAGGCTATAATCAAAAAAAGAAATTGATTATGATGAAACCTTTGTCCTTGTAGCTAGATTAGAAGTTATTATACTTTTACTTGCCTATGCATGCTTTATGAATTTTAAATTATTTCAAATGGATGTGAAGAGTACATTCCTTAATGGCTTTATGCAAGAAGAAGTGTATGTTGAACAACCCCCATGACTTTGAAGACTTTGATAAAATTGATCATATGTATAAATTGCATAAAGCCTTATATGGTTTGAAACAAGCTCCTAGAGCTTGGTATGAAAGACTTTCAAAGTTTTAAACTGAAAAAAGATATTTTAAGGGGAGTGTAGATAATACTTTTTTCATTAAAAAAAATGAAACTTATTTGATTGTAGTTCAAATATATGTTAATGACATTGTGTTTGGTGCTACTAATAAAAGGTTGCAGGAGAATTTTACTAAAGAAATGCAAAGAGAATTTGAAATGAGCACAATGGGAAAATTAAAATTCTTCCTTGGTCGATAAGTCAAGTAATATGTGGATGGAATATTCATCAACCAAAAGAAATATATAAAAAAATGCTAAAGAAATTTGGTGGCATGAATGTGAAATTAATTGGAA